AAATAATTCTGTAGGGGAGCCTCAACTGTGCTTTGAAAGTATCCCACTTAGATTATTTAAAATTAGTTCCCTTACTTAAAATCAACTAATTGTGGATTTATAAAATATATTCATAGCAACACCTAGATTTGTGCTTGATTCAGTAACTTGGCACTATACTCCAGCCAAATTCACATATAATAATATTCATCATACCAAACAAAATCTCAATTTGATTGAGAAAAGATAGTTGATAAACATTAACACTAAGGTGACACAGGTGGTGGAATTCCCGGATAAGGATTTCAAAGCAGCTGTCATTAAATATATTATAATGAGCAATTACACTCTTGAAACAAATGTAAACTATCAAAAATCTCAGCAAAAGAATAAAAGACAAAGAAAAATAAAATGAAAAAAAATTTAATTAAAAAGTAGAATAACCAATTTTTTTTTAATCAATGATGTGCAAGAAAGTGGCACATTTTTAAGTACTGAAAGAAAAGAACTGTCTTCCCAATAGTCTATATCCAGGGAAAAATAATTTCACAATGAAGATGAAATAAAATCATTTGCAGAAGGAAGAAAGCCAGAAGAACTTGTCATCAGCACATCTGCTCTAAGGAACATATAAAGGAAGCTCTTTAAACTCCAAACTTTTACCAATTATTATTTACAAGAATTAGAAGACAAGAGAAAGATTAAAAGCACATATATTTCTAAGCCATTTATCTAAATGCATGCATTTTTAATGATTAACACTTTAATAAATAAATATCACATTTATAGAACTCTAAATATTAGTTTTGAAAGAATTTAAAACAAGAGTAAGATTATAGTCTCAGTAACATATCTTCAGATAAAGCAAAACTTGACTTTATAAATTTATAACTTAAAGATAGTTACTACAGTAGAAAAGGTGGGCAAAGAATATGAATAGATGATTCATAGAAAAGTAAATCCACATTACTAAATATATGAAAACATTCTCAAGTTTCTAAGCAGTCATAAAAAATATAAATTAAATGACAAGTAGAAATCTTTTTCTACATATCAGATTAAAATTGTAAAAGGAATGATTCCACTGGCTGGTGCAAATGATGATAGGGGATATACACTGAGTGGTCAGATTATTTTGATCAGCCAGATTATTATGACCACCCCATCAGTACTTTGTTGGCCCACCTTTTGCCTTCAATACTGCCGTGATTCTTCTTGGCATTCACTCCACGAGATGTTGAAAGGTGATGCGAGGCATCTGACACCATGCCTGATGAATAGCACTGTCCAGTTCTGTGAGATTTGATGGTTGTGGAACCAGCTGCCTGATGGCTCTTTTAACTTCGTCCCACAAATGCTCAATTGGATTGAGATCTGGTGACCGTGGGGCCACCTAAGCAAGGTAAAGTCTTCCTCATGTTCTTGAAACCACTCCTACACAATACGAGCACCGTGGCATGGCCCATTGTCTTGTTGGAAGAAGCCATCTCCATGGGGTTATGCCATCAACATGATAGGATGACCTTGATCAGCAACGATACTTATGTATGTTGTGCTATTCAGACATTTATAATGTTCTGGCCCTCCAGCAACTTCAGCGCGAAATTATAGCTAATTTGCCTATAAACATCATGTGGTCATAATAATCTGGCCACTCAGTGTATACTTATTATTACTGGTGGACATGTGATAGGTTTATATTAAATAATCTTTATGTGCTAATGATTGATAAGCTTTTTGGAAAGTAATAGTCAAATAGTTATTAAAATTCCCATATCTTTTTCTCAAAATCTACTCCTGGGAGTCCATTTCATTGGCACAACATGCTGGGGCTTACCAGCAGACCCTGAGCAATGGATAAATTACCACTCTGACACAGGATTGCTGTGAAAGAGAGGGATAAAGGACTGCCTTGCTAAAGGAACTAGACAGCCGCATTTGCCTGCCTCTTCAGGCTTTTATTGTAACAGCAATTTTGGATAAAGTTTATCTTTTAGATACAATCAGTAGGGTAACTGATCTTGGAAGGACACATGTGTCTGCAATGTCCTTTAAGCAAGGACACCCAAAGATGAAGCATAAGGGTTCCAGTAAACACCCGAGGGTCCACACATGCACAGACTTGTTTGGAAAGGTCAAGGAACAATTAGGGGCACCGCCTTTAGCCAACTCACCTAAATTGGAATTTCGAGAAATAGGGGTGGGCTGCCTTCAGCTAACTTCCCTTTTTGAAATTTCCTCCTTACAAACTTTCCAACCAAGTTTTCTATGCTTCCCTACAATAAAAGTACCCACACAAAAAGATGTTTATGAAAGCATTGTCTGTAGAGATAAATTTTAGAAACAAAAGGAATCTCAAGGAATCTAATCAATAAGTGAAGGGTTAAATAAACCATAAAATACTGATGTCCAAACACAGAACACTATACTGATGTTAAAAAATATGATGTTGATGTATATAACAAACTGACTTCGATTTTTATGTTATTAAAATAATAAAGTAAGATACAGAAAAGTGTAAATAATACAGATCCATTTTAAAAAACAAAAATATATGTGTATATAACCAAATGTGTGTGTATTTGAATGCATTTTTATGTAGCCATTACCATAGAGTTCACTATGCAAGAATACATATCAAAGAGTTAACATTTGGTCCAGCCAGCATGGCTTAATGGTTGTGCATTGACCTATGAACCAGGATTTTACAGTTTGATTCTTGGTCAGGGCATATGCCCAGGTTATGGGCTAGATCCCCAGTGTGGGGCGAGGCAGCCTACCAATGATTGTCTCTTGTTGTTGATGTCTCTCTCTCTTCCTCTCCCCCTCTCCCATTCTTTCTGAGATTACATCAATATCTATATATATAAAGAGCCAGGGGCCGTCATATCCAAAATAACTGAATGGATGACCGAACAGGCTGAGTGGGGCGACCAGGCTGGCAGGGGGGGGCAGTGAGGGGTGACCAGGCCAGCAGGGGGCGCAGTTGGTGGCAACCAGGCCAGCAAGCGGGGCAGTTGGGGGCAACCATGCTGGTGGGGAGAGGCAGTTAGGGGTGACCAGGTCAGCAGGCAGAGGTGTTTAGGGGGTGATCAGGCTGGCAGGGGGGCCAGTTAGGAGTGATCAGGCAGGCAGGTAGGTGAGCAGTTAGGAGCCAGCGGTCCTGGATTGTGAGAGGGATGTCCGACTGACCCCCAGAATTAGGCCTAAACCAGCAGTCAGATATCCCCCGAGGGGTGCTGGATTGGAGAAGGTACAGGTTGGGCTGAGGAGACACCCTCCCTCCCCCGTGCATGAATTTCATGCACCGGGCCTCTAGTATATTAATATTTGTTACATGTAGCAGTGAGGGGCAGCCATTAGACAGAAATAGAAAGGAGTGTATGTGATGTAAAATGACTCAATATATTTTGATAAATGCTTAAGCCAAAAAAAAAAAGCAAGAGCAAAATAAAAAACAAAAACTATGTATTCAGTAACAAGAGCCCTGAAACAATAAAAAAGAATAAAACTGTAAACAGAAATTAAAAGGAAAAAATATCCGGTGTAGAATATATTGAAAAAGTTTCAAACCTGTCCTCATACTAAATACCTTAATCAGACTGTATGGTACATTTAACCACACTAGTTCAAGATTAATAACAATTCCTTAGAGATGAACATTTTAAAATTAATATATTTAATATTATGCATATCAAATATGTGTTGTAAATTATATAAAGTTTTCACTTAAGATAATAAATATAAAACCACAAAGAAGCTTATTTTTCTTATGTACTTAACAAATGTATGCATGCCTTTGAGCACAATGCAATTATAAGTGGTGGAGGGGGAGTGCAGCAAAACTATGTGAAATTTTCCTTTGAAAGCATTTGCTTCACTTCTGAAATTGTCAAACTTCCAAATGTGACAGATTCACACTTAGATTAAACTGTTTCACATGGTTTGCATTCTGGATAGAACAAATAAACTTTTGAATAAAAACTGTATAGAGAAACCCATGTAACAAAATGTGAATCTGTATCAAAGCTAATTTGTCTAAAAAAATGTATTGAGTGAGCGGGGACCCCAGTCAGTTCTTAGCTGATACAATTACAGTATCTGAAGTGATTTCCCTGCCAAATATATCTGTAATTGAATGATATCTGAGTTAGATAGGAAGGAAGGAAGGAAGGAAGAGAGGGAGGGAGGGAGGAAGGAAGGAAGGAAGGAAGGAAGGAAGGAAGGAAGGAAGGAAGGAAGGAAAGAAGGGAGAAAAGAAGGGGGGAGGGGAAGGGTTGTCTGCTAAAAATGAAAATTCCTATTCTTAATAGCACAAAATAAAGACAACTGATATTATTAAAAATAAAATTTAAAAAGTTCCCATTATTATTCTTGCCCTTCAAATAAGTAACAATTAAACCTAATTTGGGGATAAGTGAAAATATTTATCCAGTATGGCATCAGATTTGAGCAAAAATGTTTTCAAAAGATTATAAGATGATATACTCTGAATTCTTCCTGTGATATAATTTTTAAAATTCTTTATTAAAGTAAAATTTTCTATACCATAGGTTATAAAAGTACCTATATGCTAAATTTGATTTTTCTATCTAGGGCAGTGGTTCTCAACCTTTCTAATGCCGCGACCCTTTAATACAGTTCCTCATGTTGTGGTGACCCCCAATTTCATTGTTACAAATTGAACATAATTAAAGCATAGTGATTAATCACAAAAACAATATGTAATTATATATGTGTTTTCCGATGGTCTTAGGTGACCCGTGTGAAAGGGCCATTTGACCCCTAAAGGGGTCGAGACCCACAGGTTGAGAACCGCTGATCTAGGGTTTTTTAAATAAACAATATAAATTAATTGGGACATAATGCACTTAAAGTAATTTCTCAGTAAAAACAGTTGTGATACTGAATCTACAATATGAAGAGTCACATAGACTATTAAGATCAATACTAATAAACATTATTTATTTGACAAATATAAATATAGCTTGTTTTTAAAATTTTGACAACTTGCACCCCAATTTTTTTTGAAAAAACAATTTTTTATTTTCTAGAAATATATATAAAAAGAAATTTCCCACAAAAGATGCTATTCTCTCATTTCCCCATCTTCTTCCTCTTCTTCAACACCCCTGATATAAAGGACATTATTACTCCTTATTAAAACTTCACCCAGGTGTCCAGACAAGGCTCCATCTATGTATTCTTCTGTGTTTGCAAGCTGCATGTTCATATAGCCATCTACAGATACCAGGTAGCCTCTGTACTCCATTCCCCACTTAAGTTTCACCATTACTGGCTTTCCTGTTAATCCGTTGAGGAAAGGTTTGGGATTGAGGGGCAAATTCATCGCGAGGACAAGCAAATGCTGTAGGCTACTCGCCGCCAACCCAGTTCTTGTCCTTCCCTGGTGCCTGGAGCGCCTACCCCAGCTCTGACCGCGAGAAATCTGCACCCCAAATTTAACTGAATAAGTTATAGGCTGAAAACATTACTTGCAAATGAAAGCGGAAAATTCTACCTTAGATTTTATGCACACTCAAACTATTTGGATTTATGAACTTAATTACTTGAGTTCTGTTTGAAAAGTAGGTCATCAAACAAAAATGTAATGTTTTCAACATTTTTCAACTGATTCATCCTCAGAGACAGAGACCAGATTGATTTACTAGGAATGCTCTTTTTGGGGAGCTGGCGTCGACAATGAAAACTCTATCCCCAGAACTGGTCCAACTTGTATACAAAACTGAAATGATCATGAAACAAAGTAGGGTTAGAAGATTACAGAAACACTGACCCAAATGGTCATAGCCACAAGAAGACACAAAGCCTGAGATTTTTTTTTTTTAATTCAGAAAGACAGAGAACATTATATTGGCAAGCTGAATGAAAATGGGATGTGGGAAAAATGTGATGAGAGGGCTACTGCCCATAACCTTCTTCCTGTGGCTGACCCATGTAAGAGGTATATTCTTGAAAAGTAACTCTAATGAGTTTCATTAAATATATTGTTTCTTAATTTCAATCAGAGCTAGTATTCAAAACAGACTTTTGAAGAAAGGGAAATTTCAACTCATGTTAAGAGTGAAGAATCAGTTATCTCTGCTTTGTACATAAAAGATAGATGGCAGGAGAAAAAAAATCACATGGATGGAGAAGCTAACATGATGAGTTTTTGACATTCAATTATAAAATGAGATTTAAAATTTTATTTGTTCATGACATAAATATTTGCTGAATGTTTATTATGTAGATTGCATACTACTTAGCACTGTGTAAGACCAATTGAATGGCAGTAATTACAAATGATTTTTAAACATCAAGAATGCATTGTAACATATTACATCACACAATTCCACTGCTAGTGATTTATCATTAAAAATTGTCTGAATTTCATATTGAGAGTCAAGCCAGTAATTTTCCTGCATTACTATATTGGCAGGATAATTTGCTATAAGCTTGCTAAATTTTCATATATGATAATTATTTCAAAGTAGATCTTTATATATATTTCATTTATTCTATTTTCTACTATCAAATCATGGACTTTGGTAAACATGTTATAGGCAATTCAAAATCATGCATTTTTATAGCCATCCAACTCTAAAAAAGGATGCTCTTCACTGGAATTAATGATACTAAAGGATAACATAGTTGGTTTGTCTCAGTGGTTGAGTACTGACCTAGAAATCAGGAGATCACGGTTAGATTCCTGGTCAGGACACATGCCCTGGTTGCAGGCTCTATCTGCGTGGGGGTGTGCAGGAGGCAATTGATCAATGATTCTCTCTCATCATTGATGCTTCTGTTTCTCTCTTCCTTTCCCTTCCTCCATCTGAAATCAATAAAAATATACTAAAAAATAATACCAAAAGACAGTCAATAAGAGTATGATTAGCCTAATTTATACCACCACATTTATATAAGAGAAGTCAGATTGGCTTTATACACAATGTAATATTTGAAAAATGCACAATATACAATTAGATTTTAAGATTTAAATATGCATTAATAATATGGCACATACAAGTTCTCTTAAAGATATAAGGTGAAGGAAATAATTAATATATAATTTGAAGTCAAATGCTTTACTTGAGTGTCATCATACATCTCTAACTCCATTCCTAATGTTATTTCAATTATATTTTCTTTTATTTTTGACCTGAGAAAACATTTTTTCAGCTTTTATTCTTCTTTATTTTATCTTATTTATCTTTTTAGATCTTTATTGTTGAAAGAATTACATGTGTCCCCTTTTCTCCTCCACTAACCCCTTCTAGCCTGCCCCACCACCCACCCCAGGCCTTCACCACCCTATTGCCTGTGACCATGGATTATGCATATATGCATACAAGTTCTTTGGTTTATATTTTCATTTTAATTATCTTTCTGCAAAATATAATATCAAATGAATGCAGATATTTCTCATTGAGGCAAGATAGAGTAACAGGTATCACATTTACCTTTCTTCTTGAAAGGTCTAAATATACAAACAATATATACTTTTTAAAAAACTTTTGAAAACCTGTGGCACAAAGCAACAAAGAACAGTAATTCTTCATACAGAAAACAAATGAGGTGAGTCCTATAATATTCATAATATATTGATTTGAGAGATATTCTAAGTGAAATCATTAAAAGGGGGACCCATTTAGACTCTTATGTGCTTCTTTATTTGAGGAGATGCAGTTGAACATATGGAAGACAAAAGAAGCTAGAGTTTGCAGTACAGAATACTGGAAAGGATAGACCTATAGAGAGAAAGAGCACTCTGAAGATCTGTAGAGAGTCCAACTAATCATTGCACATAAGTAAAGAAAATACCTGAAACTGGGAAAAAAGAACAATACTTGAGGAAACAGACCTGGACACCATCTAGGGCCAAGAAGAATGTTTGTTCTAACCAGCAAGACTAAAAAATATCTTTATACAGTTCACTGGGTGAAATAATCAGAAATATTTTGCCTAAATAGTTGGAAAAAATCATCCTTAAAGTAAATGCTTTTCTGCTCCTATCAAATACATATTAAAAACAAATGTAAAAGGATCAAATTAGTTGCAAGAAACTTGTCCTAAAGCAAAGCTTAAGAAAATTATAGGAATATAAAGATGTCTAATATTCAAGAGATAAAATGCAAAATGTGTGATATCGAGCATGCAAAGAAATACACCTGAAGAGATTAAAATTTTATCAGTCAACCTGACTCATCTATAACAACTGCAAAAATTAGCAGAGAAAAACAATAAATATTTTAAGAGCTATATTGCACGTATTAAAAAAGCTAGAGGAAAGATGAATCTAAGAGTGGAGGTAAGGAGACAAACTAATGTTAAAAAATAAAAATTATAATTTGTGAAATAAAATATTTACTTTATGGGATTGAATCATTGAAAACTACAGAAGAAAAGATTAGTGGACATTAAGATACCTCAATAAAAATTACCAAAACAAAAATTAAGAGAAGAAATTGTTCTAAATAATTAGTGAATTATTCTTTAAGAACAATACAAGTAACTTTAGTTCTCAAAGATAAGAGGTTAAAAATACAGAAAATTTAAAGAAATTATGAACATTGACTAAAACTATAAACACACACATACTAAAAGCTCATCAAACCTAAAATTCTAACACAAACAAGCAAACAAACAAAAGAGCAATACCTTAATATATCTCTCAAGGGAAGATTGGTCAATTCCTTGAAGCCAGTGTTAAAGAAAAAAAAATCATAAAGCAGTCAAAAAAATAAAATAAAAAGACAAGATACAATAAAAAAATAAAGCTAAAAAAACTTTTCAAATGAAATACATTCTAAAATTCCAGCTTGGCATTATACATTTACAATGACCTATATAGTAAAACTAGGGGCCCAGTGCAAGAAATTCGTGCACTTGGGAGGGGGGTTCCTCAGCCCAGCCTTCCCTCTCTCACATACTGGGAGCCCTCAGGGCTTGTCCTACTGACGGCTTAGGCCTGTTCCCTGCTCCCCTTGGGGAGCGGGCCTAAGCCGCAGTCTGGCCTCCCTTTGTGGGAGGCGACCAGGCTGATCAGGGGAAGGCACCAGCCCCATCACCCTGCTGCTGCAGCCACTGCCAGTCACCACAGCCACCGAGTTGTTTTCATCAACACGGACTCCAGTCTCTTCACCATGAAAAAATGACAACTTTCTTTAGGCATTTTCAAGATGTGTCTTTCATAGGATATGACATTTCTTTCTTTCTTTATTTTTTATCCTCACCTGAGGATATGTTTCCATTGATTTTTAGAGAATGTGGAAGAGAAAGGGAAAGACACAGGAAAACATCAAAGTGAGAGGAACACTTTGATTGGTTGCCTCCTTCATGAGCCCTGACCTGGGCCCCGGCCAGGGAGGAGCCTGCAACCTAGGTACATGCCCTTGGTCAGAATTGAACCTAGACCCTGAGGTCGGCAGGCCGAGGTATTATCCACTGAACCAAACCGGCTAGGGCAGGATGTGACATTTCTTAGCCCTCCAGCAGCGGACCTTCGTTTTTTTCGCCAGGAGTGTGGTGGAAAAACCCTAGATCACCTTTTTGGATTCTTATTACCCAAGTTACTAAGAATATTACCAGTGGCATACAAGGAGCTTAGCCAATGAGCGGTCAGAAAAGGTGTTTCCTCTGATCGGAGTTCACTCCAATCACCAGCTCCACCCCTGCCCAGGTCCTTCCAATCGCCGACTCCACCCCTGCCGCTCTGCAGCCTCTGGTCAAGGGGACCCCGAGGCCTCTGCGATCACCGGCTCCGCCCCTGCCAGGCCCCTGCCATCTCTGGCTCCGCCCCTGCCAGGCCCCTGCCATCTCTGGCTTCGCCCCTGCCAGGCCCCTGCCATCGCTGGCTCTGTCCCTGCCCAGGTCCCTGTGGTGGGGCTGAGGGGACTGGGCACCACCATCTTGTGGCTATGGGCGTGGCCATCTTTGTGACAGAGTGATGTAGTGACAACTAATTTGCATATTACTCTTTTATTAGATAGAATATGTGTGATGATTGTATGTATTGGAAAGTTGGTCATAATTTCAAAGATAATTGACTTTCTTTATTATTGACCATGTCTAGGTATTCTGAGGTTGATCTAATGGGTGTTTGAATGTGTAATATAATTAAGACAAACATAAGTGATAAATAATTATATATTTTACTCCATAATCTGTTTTTATATTTTCTGAGTATGAAAATGAGTTATGAATTAAATTTTATGAATTGAATATAGTGCAGACTACTAAAAATATATAGAATCTGATCCTAAGTAGTAGTTCCATGGGACTGCTACAAATGTTATTTTGAAGAGGTAAACAAAAGTTCTCTAGACCTGTCTTCTATTCTATATAACCAGAGTTAAATGAATTT